AAGCACAACCTCTGCAGACTCAAGCCATGACAGCAAAACTGGTCTTGTGACATTTATTTTCTTTACTTATTTCCTTCTGCATTAAAATAATAATAATTTAAAAAAAAAAACAACAAAAAAACAGAATCGATTAATTGGTAAAAACTCTGTATCGTTGTGTCTTTGGTAAAGAATGTATTTTAACATTCAGTGCCAAATAACTAACTAAAACCACTAGTTCAATAAAAATATTGCGTTGATGCTTTAGAGTTAGTTTTTCCATTGGTTATTTATGTCCAGCAGCTTTCGGACATGGCGGAAATTTGTTGCAGCAGAGAAAGAATGTTTCTGGTATAATCATGCTAACTGGCTGGAACATTTGTGTGCGGTCCATTTGTGGCTGTGCGTGTGGGGGTCTAACGGGCCTCAGCATATCAGATTGTAACCTTTCTGGGTGTATCCCGTCTCTTGCCAAAATGCCAGCCTGGGACAGCTTCCAGCTCCCCTGGCTCATTGCAGTGATTCATCCATTAATGTGTTTTTTTGTTCTTTGTCAAAGTTTCCTTGATACAATCAAATAATACCCCTTTTTATAGGTTGGCACGGCCTCATGGCGCTGCAGAAGGAGGCGAGCGGTTACTTCACTTCTCTCTTTCTGAGAAAAATCACAGCAAACAAGGAAAATATTTTTAAGACATCAGCAAATCGATCTGCTTTAATCAAACTTGTTGCTAGATAATATATACATTTGAGGCTGCAACAGACTCTTAAGGAGAGAGTAGTATTTACTGAGTGATGGTAATTAAAACACTAGTATTATGACCAGTAACAAGAATTTTTACAATTTCTGTTTTATGAGAACTAATTATGACTATTTATTTGATTAATTTGATGAGAAGTCTTTAAAAAACTTTTGTATCTTGTTTTTTAGGCACAGGTTTTTAAAATTATTACTTCATTTGCATCATTTAAATTAAACAAAACCTTTTAAGATGAAAATATTTTTTTCTCCCTTTCATTTAGTCAATATTTCCATTTTCTGTGTGGGGTCACTTTCTTCTCACCAGGCAGAGAGAAGCTGGACGACAATCTTCCCACTTCTTGCTTCCTAGCTGGATATTGCTGCAATAAGTTTGAAACAATTGTTCCTTCAACTACTGTTTTGTTTCTTCTGCAATGGGCAAAAATAACACATTCATAACATATCTTTTTTATTTTGTGTTTATTTTATCTGGGACCATTTACAGAAGGTGTTGACATCTAACTTACTCCATCTTACAGTTGAAAAAAACAGACTGTTTGGTTAACTGGTGTCTCTAATTGACCTTAGGTATTAGTGTGTGTGGGTGTGTGTGTGCGTGCATTATTTGACCCCTGTGTCTCTGTGCTGCCCTGTAATGGAATGGCAACCTGTCCAGGGTGTACGCCGCCTTTCTCGTCTTCTCACGATGCCTGCCCTGAATCGCTTCGTTCTACATTGTCTGCAGGAAAACTCTTTTACTGTACATGGTTTTATTCCTGTCTGTCCTAAGAATGTTTAAACATTTATGAATCCTGAGGCACTTGCACAAACAGCTGTCTTGGTGCATTGTGGCTCAAATTGTCCTCCATTCATTATTTCTACCTACCTCCCACATTGTGAATTCATGAACTTCTACGCTGCCATTTCCAATCACCACTCCAGATGTTTTAGCTGGATTTTTCAGAATGACACTGCGTCAAATGCTGTAAAGAGTTTCACATTTCATGACTACTGACAGCTTAGAGAGCATAATTTAATTCTGGGAGAATTTAGAGAGGTGCAAAGAAAGTCCTTCAGGCACTCGGTGCGTTTCCTAAAAAGTCTGGCGCACCTTTCAGAATGAATTACGTCGTTCAAGACCTTGGAGCTGAGCCTGAGACACAAGACGATCCTTTGTGGGATTTTAAAGAGAAAGGTTAGAAAACCACATGAGTGCTGCCAGTGATTAGAAATGACACAGAGGAAGTCAGATACGGGGTTAGGAAAGTAAAGAGAAATCAGAGCAAAGTAAATTCACTTTGCTTAATCATGCTGGCTGCTCACGTTCCTCCAGCTCGCTTGGTTGTGGTAGGGGCAACCATCGTCTTAGGTCGTTTAAAGTCAGCAGTTCCTTTGTTAAATGTAGGGAACACTTCACAGTGATGGCAAGAAGGCTGCTGCTTTTACAATCAATTATTCAGCTCTTGAACATTTGCCCCATTTGTGGCCTCTTCTACTGGGTTCCCACGTCTGTTTGTCCGACACACAAGTTTTGTGCAGCTTCTGAGGAATGAGAGCCCTTCACTTCAGAAAGGGCATCAGTCAAAAAGTACCTCAGAAAATGCTTTTAATAGATGGTGCCTGGCAAAGGTATTCATACACTTTCACCCTTTTGAAATGTTTTCATGTAACAACAAGACTTCAGTTTATTTCACTAGTGCTTAATTGAAGAGCCGACACAAAGCGGTGCACAATTCTCAAGTAGGAGAAAAAAAAGATATCAAAGCTTGTTTTTAGGACCCTCTGAACTTTTCACAGAGCATTGTAAAATCCATCATGAAAAAAATGCAAAGCGACACGACGCTACTGCAAATCTGTTAAATTATGGCCTTGAATCAAAACCTACATTAGTGCTGAAGATGTTTTTGTCAACGTCCAGATAGGAAACCAGCTGTGAAGGCAGTAAAATGTAGATGTTTATAGAAAATCTTTATCCTTAAAGCTGCTATCACAGTGAAATGTGTCTTTATAAAGAAACATGATGTCAAAGGATCATTACATCTCATGAACTTTTTTTTTCTCGCAATATCAGATGTGAAAAGTATTAACTTCCGTCACTCGATACCTCTTCGATCTTCCACATGGGTTTATTATTCCAGACAGCGGCTTTCCCCTTAGTTGTGTCTCATTTTGTGCTGCATCATCTATATCGCTTAATGAGTCAAAACCAGAAGACAGAACAGATTATGTTTAAGAGTTTCAGGCAACCATAAAACCAAAGAGTTTCAAATGGAAAAAAAAAATCCTTCAAACATGTCTTTCCACAAAAGATGCAAAAAAGATGAAATTGGCAGGAAACATCTTTTATCCCTCAACAAGCACGATGTTTAGACGAAATACAATCTTATCTTCAAGGAGAAAAAGATCACTTCAGAGGGTAAAGCACTATTGCCCATTGTCAAGAAGACTTGTGGTCTCTTTTGAATGGAGGAAGCTATTTTCTTCAGTGATGCATAAATATTTACATCAAGAGGTTTTGGAAGGTCTCCTTTAAGAAGACATCTGATATCTTGTTGCCCTGTTGGATGCTGCTTCGAAACTACAACTTACTTTTCTGTGGCTCCAGAGGTCCGCTATTTCATGGAAAGTTCTCAAAAAATTTATAACAGCTCACATCAACAACCAACAACTCAAAAAAGCGCAAAGCACTTTGTTGCTTGAAGCCCCGAGGGTTCCCAGCAAGTCGTCACACCCGTCTCGTTTCCCACCGTTGGCCTTTCGAACCGTATAAACCATGTATGGGAGTTTCTTTCCTGCTGCAAACAAGTGCTCCCAGAAGAAGCAGGGCTACGGCAGCATTGATACGTTGAATGGCTCAGTCTCATTCTGCTGTGACCCCTGTGTGCACTTAAAGACTTGCATGTGAATGGGATGCATGTATGAGAGGGGGTTTTAAAGGTACGGCACAACTTAATTAAACCCCTGATGGTGACAATGGCGAGGGAGGGGTCAAGAAGGTCACTGGTTCAGAGGTTTGGAGGAGAGAGAAATGTCGAGATAGATGTCGTTTTGTCCTTTTTGTTCAAGCACAACTCATGAATTTATGGGATTGTTATTACCTTCGCTAAGCTAGAAGGTAGGACTTCCCTCGTTCACATAATATGAGCTTCACATCATTTTTGCTCACTTTATCTGGACCCTTCCTGTCCCAGTTGAGCATAAGGCATCCATGTGAAAAGTTTGTTTTCAACACTCAACACTGCCTGTGTTTGGTTCCTTGACCATCATGCAACACTTGACAAGCTGTGATTTTTTTCTGCCATAAACTCTATGGCATTTAATTTTGTCTCAACACTGAAAACTAAAGTAAATGTTTTACATGAATATCCAACAACTCTAAATGTGTATTTCTTTTTATTCTATTCAGAAAAAAAAAACTTTTATCTTCATTGGCAACTCTCGTAAAGATGCTTCATCTCTTATTGCTGTGCCATGCAATAAAAATATCCAATCGATATTTCATTTTAATTTTCAATGAAAATGAAATGTTTTATTGCATTTCAGTTGCCTCGATTTTTAAATAAAAGTGTAAAACAACTGGAAAAGAAACAAACAAGGCCAGACAATGACCGAAGGTTACCCGGATACCAGACATGGCAAAGTGATAGAAGAAAAATGAAAATAATAATATCTCTGAAGGTCTTTGTTAGGAAATGACTGCAATCTTTTAAGGTAATTTGGGTTATGATGCTACAACTGAAGCTCTACATTCATCAGATACAGATCAGATGGCTATTTAATTTGCTGAACTATGGAGTACTGGGATGGTGGAGGGTTTAAAAACAACCCAAATATATAGACCTTGATCCTCGATGCCGATGCAGGTTCGATTCCTGGCCTGGTGACCTTTGAAAGATGTCTTCCCCTTCTCTCGTTACCCATTTTCCAGTCAATTCACTAGCAAATAAACACTGGAGCCAATAAAACCTGTTAAAAAAATCAGTGAAATGTGTTGTTCTAAATTACGTTAAACGTTTCAGAGTAAGTCACCTTTCACCTATTTGATGCAACAATGAACTAATACCCCGGGGCAGAACTGCGCTCTGCGTAAAAAGAAGAGCCAGACTCCAACACACGCCTCTCTCTCTCTCTCTCTCTCTCTCTCTCTCTCTCTCTCTCTCTCTCTCCCTCTCTCCCTCTCTTTCTCCTGTGGGAACTGAGCTGCGGAAGCATTCAGAGCAGAGAGTCAGTGAATCTGGCAGAGCGGCAGTCACTCCGCACAGAGGACCGCGCGCGTCCTCAAGATCAAACACCTTGACGAGAAGCGTCAAGATAAAAGTCCCTTCGGAGTTTTGACGTTTAGTCTTAAAAAAAATCTCAGCGAGAAGGAGAGGCGCGTCTGTCAGTAATTATGGGATTTACACCTTTCGTCTTCAACCAAGTTGTGGCTGCGCTGCTTGTCACCAGCATCTGCGCGACCAAAATCAACGTGCCGCGCCTGAGACTCTCCCACAAAGGTGAAGCTTTTTCATTCTTACAGAGACGCTTCATCGCTTCCGCGCTTTCCTGCAGGTGACACTAATTGGCAGAACTCTCCATCATATAAGGAATATTTCTGCATTGTAGTTTTCTGTAAATGTGTTTTCGTTTCGTTTTTCTTTCTCCTCTCCTTGTGGTGGTTCAAGCTGGAAGCGTTTAATCCGGGTCGCTCATTTGGCTACTGTTTCGGAGGTTTACGTGCTTTTAGCAGGAGAAATTGCTCTGCAGCGCAGTCAGAGGAGGTTCTTTTGGCGGAGCTTCACCTCTCTGCGGTGAGAGCCACCCGGGTGCGACCGTCTCATTAAAAGAGTTTATTAGGAGCGGCAACCGCGTCGGAATTCGGAAGCAAGTAACTTTACTGACATTTAAACCGCTTGAAGCTTTGAGAGGCGAAATGACCGGAATGGCTTTCGCGCACAGCTCGTTCACGGACAAAGCTGCTTCATTTTCATGAATAAAATTGGTCTGCTGGATTTTAATGGATGTTTATGAGTAGAAGAAATGTTTGCCCAATAGCGGGTAAACGCCTGCATAAAAGGTGAAGCGATTTTAAAAGTGTACTTTATTAACTCAACAAGTATAAACTAAAAAGAAGGAGCTTTTTGTTTTGTTTTGTTTGTTTGGTTTTTTTGATCAAGCTTAGAAATGTTGCTCAATAAGTAACTTTGTTAAATGTATTCTAACAAGGCGGTAGACCAATCAGGGGCGTATTTAGGAGGACGGGGGCCTTTGGCTGCAGCCAGTGTTGGTGTGTTGGTGTCCCATCCACTTTCTTGTCCACTTGCAGACTGATGTGGACTGATGACAAAAGATCGACCTGCAGGTTTTTATCTGTCAAACTAAACTTTGTTTGTATTCACTTTCCTTGAAACTTACTTCTAACAAATAATCATTTATAGATTAAGATTTTTTTTAGAATTTCCATTGTGGTGATTTTGCATAGTCACTGCAACAATGCAAACATACCAGGACAGGTGAAGCTTATGTTTAGAGTCACCTGGCACATTTGATGTTCTTGGGGATTAAAGTTGGGTCAATGGTGTCTTCAAATGCAGGCATATTGACCGTATGGTACCAATATCTAGTGCATATTTGTAATCCTTATAAGAAGTAAACACATTTTAATACCTTAATGCCTTTTTTGAAAGCCTAGAAAATGCCATCTTGCTTTAATGTACATAATGTAAACCTTACTCTTAATGTCTTGGGTATAGATGCCTATGCAGTCTGTTTTTGGATAGTTTACATTGTTTTCTTCCCTCTAATCTGACACAGTTGTTGTGACTCATTCATAGATAATGAGCTGGTTTAAAAGTGCATAAGTACTGTTGACTGTTGTTGCCAAGTCTGGCTCATTGTTTCATCCAGTTTCACCCGAAGCAGTTCTGCATAAGTTATTGGCCCAAGATATCTCACAGAATTTCCTCCTGTTCAATTTTCAGGAGAAAAGCCACCATCTGAGCTTATTGGTCTTCTCGTACTGCAAATAAACACAGCTCAGTGAATTGGCAAGGAATGAATAGAAGAATTAAGTGTAGGAAGGTAACTTGGATTTTTGTGAATCAAACAACAATTGCTCATTTAAAAGTTACGATATTGTCTCAGTAAATTCTATCTCCTTTGGCCTTTGCAAAATCCTGGACTCAGTACCTATTTGTTGAAAGTTACATCAGAGGAAATCTTTGATTTCAAAATACAATTGAGTTTGAAAAAAAAAAGTTGATATCCTCAAAGACTGACTTAGAGAATGAGTTAGTACAGGGGTGGGCACTCCAGGTCCTCCAGGGCCGGTGTCCTGCAACTCTTGGTTGTCTCCCTGATCCAACACACCTGAATCCAATAGCTGAATCACCTCCTAAATGCAATCAAGTTCTCCAGAGTCCTGCTAATGACCTCATTATTTGACTCAGGTGTGTTGAAGTAGAGATACATCTAAAAGTTGCAGGAAACCGGCCCTCGAGGACCTGGAGTGCCCACCCCTGAGTTAGTATGAGCTTTTCATCAGCATTTTTTGCCTTTGGTATTAAGTCTATCAGTGGAACTAATAACTCTTGACATTCAGACTGTAACAAACACTGCAAATAGATACCAGTCATTTCTGTTTATGCAATTCATAAACATGACATTTTTATCATCAAATCAAAGTAATTTCCTCAGCCTGGGCTTTCACTGCTGCTCGCTTGTTAAATGATCTAACCTCATCTCGCCTACTTTTTGTGGTGTGGTTACTGACTGGCGCCACCAGCTGTTTATCTTGGGACACTTAACATCCAGCTTCCAGTGGTCAACCCCCCCTGGACTAGCCAGGACTGACCAAAATCACACATATGAAAAATAGTAAATTGTTTTAAAAATGAAATGTGATTTTTTTTTCTTTTTAATTCCAACTAAAGGATGCCTACTGAAGGCTGAAATATACACAACATTTTTATTAATAGAAACTCTAATGAGATTTCTTATCTTAAGCAACCAGGTCCAGTTAAGGCACAAGAAGTTCAGACCTCAGTTCCAGCACTTTGAGGCTCGGCGTTCGCAAAAGCAAATCCTCTTCACACTGAAATGCTTTTTGATAAATTAAACAACTTCATATGTAATTTCTAACTTTCTTACATATGAAAGGGATCTCTCCACTGCCCTGGAGGAGTGTGGGAAGAGCTCTTGCACTGAAGATTCTCATTAGTGACCACACAGCTCTTTGCTTCCTGTCTCATTGACCTTTACTTTGACCTCTCAGTTTGCCCTCCATGCATTATTCCCCCTAGTGTTTGCTCTCTTCTTCTTTTGTAGCCTTTACGCATAAATCTCCTCCTACCTTCCAGAATTCCTCATCTGTTTTATGAAAGCTTTTTTCTTGATTTCAAACCTTCATTATTTTGCATGTGTTTGTATTCAACTAGTTGCCTCGCACTCAGTTTTAAGTCTCAGAAACACTCAGAGTGTTTGTGCTGCCAGGAGGATGTGGAAGTAATTTAGTGGAAGGAAAAGGCATCATTATCTCATTTCAATCAATTAGTGGGTACAAGTTGAAGCAGGAAGACGAGTGTTTTTTCCACTTAACCGTATGAGTTTATGTGCTTTGTGTCTCTCCTTTGTTGTGATTTAATACATTTTTGACACCTTCACTTTTAGTAAAGCTGGACTTTTATGAAAAAAAAAAAGTTAATGTAGAGGTTTGTTCACATAAATTTTTTTCTGTCATTCCATAAAGACGGCTTTAAATTTTAACTCAATATAAAGCTGATTATGCATAATTTCAATATTATATTGAAATTATTGACATTGCTTGACATTGTTTTTATATGTCAAGCACCTAACTGGATCTCTTTATGCATTTCATGAAACATATTTGATTATCTCATTTTAATAATGCACCTTTCAGTTTCGCTTCTATTTTCTTTTCCTTTTTTGTTCATTCAAACAGTATCTATGTCTACTTTTTAGCTCACACACGGTCTTAAACACACACATTCTGTCCAATACAATATTCACTTTGTCTCACTGAAGGCAGGGGGGAGACAAGGGGGAGTACTTGAAAACTCAAAAAGACTCACATCAGTGTCCTGTTTTAATCCAACTGCGCTGGTTTTCAAAAGGAAGGGGTCTGTTTGTTTTCGCACCCTTTGAATTAATGAGTGTGCTTTCTCAGTTGGCCTTGCTCGAACGGCTTTACCTCTGGGCGTGAGTTGTCCGGCAGCAGGGCTGGGAAAACCGTCACCAGGAGTCAGACGGAGACCAGACCTGCAGGAATGCAGGGCGTCTCTTGCCCTGTCATCTTTCAGCTCTTTTCTTTGTCCATTCGCCATCCGTCTTCATCCATCTCTTTTACGCTGTGAATAATGTAACAACTCATTCTCTGCAATCACTCATTGCAGTGTCTGTCTGTCTGCAATTCTCAAGTTCAGCTGACTTATACTTCCAAATCTCTTACATCTCAGACTTGATATAAAATAGTAAAAAATATATATAGTGAAAAAAAGCTGGGAGAGTCGACAGCCAAACCCAGGGGCCAACTGGCTTGGTTCAATCTTTTTATTATTATTTTCTTTTTTTGATGTCTCAGCTGTTATAAATTTTGGGAGGAAAGACTCTAGGTCCATTTGAATTTTACCTGATGGGGGCTGGATCATGGTCAAGTGTATAAAAACATAAATTAGACAATAAGTTGGCAAAAAATCTAAATAATTAAAAAGAAAACAGAATTGTAAAGAAACTCAATGTGTGGTATAGTTTTATTCCTTGATTTAAAGCAAAGTGTCCTACTTTGAAAAATAAGTTTATTGTTCTTTGAATTTTCAAATGAACTTATTGTTTGTAAAATATATTGTTTAATTCTAATTTTGATCCATTGTCTTTTCTTTTTGGCATCACATGGAACAACACCAGTTTAAGTTCTGCAGGAGCAGAAAGGAAGAATTTCCAGGTCTGAATATGATTTAATTATTACAGAGTTCTGTTGTCACATGAAATTGTAATGATGATGCAATTCCTGCTTTTTACAGCAGGTGGCAGACCAAACATCAGGCCAGTATTAGGCAACCAGAAAGTTACCCCCAATAAATAGTGATCTGGTTAAGCATTTGAGCGATAATAAAGGCACAATGAGAGCTTGTTTCAAGGTTGGCTTGGTATATTTTGCAAAGCATTTTCTTGAATGCACAAATGCAGAAACTTCGACATTTAGTGGCAGGCATTGAAATTATGCGCAGTAAAATATGCATAGGTGTATATATTTGCATCATCTCCTGATAAAAATGTTTATAGACCCCACTATAGTAAAGAAAAAGTCCAATGTTAAGAATTAATTATGCTTCACAAAATCCCTTGCGCTGCAGATATTCACCACTCAAAGATTTGTATCAAATTAAATGAAGCTAGAAACATTATACTCTGTGTTAAATTTAAAATGTCAATTTAGAATAATGCTACAAGTCTGTTGTGAAAAATACTTTTCAAAATCAGAAAGGCAAGAAAAAATGCC